AAGTTTGGCTCCCGTACCCTCAACAACAGCCGATCTGCAAGGTCCCAGTTGTTCAAAAGGTAACAAGCTTAGTCAGTGGTTAGCACAAATTTTAGTTTGTTTGCGTATCTTTAAACACACCCATTAACTGGTGAAAAGTCTAAACAGTAAACTTTTTAGCAGAGTAAAATAACAAACAAAATTATGGGTGTTACCTCGAATATTGATCTAAACTAAGAGGTTGAAAAATGTCGTTTAACAATAAGAAAACCAATAATCTTTTGAACACCTTGGAACTGGTCTATATATATTTCATACAAGAAATAAAGTTATATAAAGCACGCGAATACGGTCGCTTAAATGGCTTTAACCTTGGAGCACGTGTTTTATGACTGGTCGCTTTGTAATGACACGTGACTGGGAGGGGTTATAAATGACTTGGAAATTTACAGATACACATTTTTAAATGATTCATGAAAAATACTGTGTTTGTTTGCATTCATTAACATTACGTAAATGACGTGTTTACCTGAAGTATAACTGGCGATAGAAATATGCGTCGTGCTTTATACTTACTTATACGAACATGGATCCAGATCTTCCTGGTTCATAGAAACTCAGGTTTTGAGAAATATATTGGAATATTTACAAAATGATTGTATTTTTTTAGGGTTTGAATGGTTTTTATTCCCTATACTTGAAGTTTACTTTTTATATATATTAAGAACTTTCAAGATAAAACTTCTACGTGAAATTGTCTTTCAACAAACAAACAAAATAAAGAAAAGAATTGGTTTGCACTGGAAACAACAATAATGATCATTCTTTTCCTTTTGAGCTTTGTTTCTACAAAGTTCACTAAAATAATGTGACAAGATCGATATTAAACGTCAGTGGACACGCCGTGATATTTCGGTGTGTTTGTAGCATGTGACCTATCATATCGCAGGTGGCCGCCGCCATAATTAGGTGATGGGATACTTTAACGCCACCCCGTAACCCCCCTTTCTTAGCCAAACCCAACTCACAGAAAGATAACTATTCCTACCGAAATTTAGAGCCACTGTATTATAACTGTACCCTCTGATGCCGATAACCGTCAATCCTAAGCTTCTTTAACTCTCAACCGTAACATCATTATCCCGTTCACGTACAGATAACCGGGTGGTAAAGTGTCGTGTTACGTTTTACTTCTTTGATTCTTTATAAAAGATCTAATTTGTGCCATCTTCACAAGACACCAGCGTCATCGGACCTTAGATTTATATGTTTTTTGCCAAATTGTTAAATTGAATTGTTAAAAATGTGCTGAATTTTTTTTTCTGGTCGAGGTTATATTTGCTTCCTTGATTTTGAAGTGTTTAACTTAATGATTAAAACGATAATATTGAATAAACAATTCTGTCCATGTTTAAATAACTTTACGCAGCTTAATACAGCTGGAAAACACGATGGTCGGCTTAACGACGACGATAACGTGACGGAAATATTTTCCATAGCATAGATTTTTTTAAATCAGATTTTTATGAAATAACAAAAAACAGATCTTAGAGTACATATATAGCCAATGAAAATTATCACCAGTAAACGGGAAAAACAGAATAGTTGTATTTTTGATTATTACTCAAAAATCACATTCGGAAAATTTACATGAATGAATGGATATCCCAACAAGGCTGTGATGTTTTACTTTTATGTGCATTACACGTAAAATTGACAGCGTGAAATAAACAGACGGTCACGCAGGCCGATTTTTATTATCGATCAACATAGCTGTATTCTAAGAGATCACGCCTGTCTATCAGCTACCCGACACTTTACATTGATATCATTCTCATTCATCATTTTCCATGTTAAACGACACGTCGACAACTATGGTCATGTAGGGCCAGAATAATGTTTTAGTATGAAGCAGCCATTTTGGGAATAAAATATAAATCATAAACAACGTCGTATGTCTTATAAAATCAGCAGCAGGATAGACTAAGAGAGTTAGAATGTTCAATAGGGTAAAATATAAAACTTAGTTACAAATATCGTGTAAAGATTGAAATGGAAAGATATATATATATAAATGCCGTAAAAAGAGTCATATATGTCAATGGAATTACATTTATATAATGCATCCAAGTCTTTGTCGCCTGTGGGGGTATCAATGTTAACACCAATCACCTCAGGTATGTAATAAGGTATCGATGACATTATAATTTGTCTTCAAAATTACTAAAATAAGAGCAAATTTTATTTAAAAACATATGTTATTCAATCAACATCTACACTTACAAAAGACAATTGATTATGATGATTTGGAAACAAGTACTAACGTTTTTTACATAGTCCTTCTCATCGTTATTATACTTTTGCATTAATAGTCTAAACAAGTACATAAGAGCAAACTTTGATTAACCTCGCAATATTATTTTCATTTTGACGGAAAACTGATGAAATCTGCAGAGGAAAAATGTAACAGATAAATAAATGAAACTTTCCACAGCGTTAACGCACGATTTACCAGATATATTACTGCGTCAAGGCACCATTGATTATGACTTAATTATAGCTACTCGACAATCTGATAATACATTTAAAAGGCTTTATTTTCGTTTTAACAAAGATTGTGATTAATGTGTAAATCTATGTCTTGGTGCCACGTGACAATTTTTGTTGATCTAATCATCTGTCCATTGTGTTCTTGATTGGCTGCGACAATTAACAAGGACGTAAGTTAAAATTAGACACAGCTTTAACTCTAGATAAACCTATTTAATTGTGGATGTATGTAGCGTATAGTTAATCGCGTTCACTGTAAGCGTACTGTCTTTTGCGCAATCACATTTTAGCGGAAAGGAGAGAGAAGAACTTATTAGCGCACAAATGTCGTTATCTGAAATAGACTGTAACATTTATATACTGGGTGAACAGTTTATGTATCGGAACAAACCCTTCAGAACGGAGAATCAAGTAAATCGGTCGAGCACCTTAGAATAAAATAAGTTTTTTTTCACGTTTTAAGCAAGTGAGTTTTATCATTTAGGCTATAGTGAAATATTGCATAAATATAATGACTATCGTGTGATCAATAGTCTATGAGCAGCCATGGATTAGCGGACGAGACGTAACGTGAAAGCCGTTAAAATCACAACACCGCTGAACGAATATGCTTACAGTATCTGGAACAATGTGATGTAAATGTGATGTTTCATACTTCATGAAACACCCAACAGCATTTATTTGGAAAGTTTGCCCGCCACACAGTACCCTCCAGTTCATGCCTTCAGATAGATATATGTCTTAAATTGATAAAACATATGCAATGTGATTTTTAACGTTGATATCATGTTGTTATGTAAAATGGAAAAATATGTTTAGTGTCATTTCTGATTTTATGCCCTCACCTTCTGTTCTATCAATTTAGATTTCCATCTTCTTGGCCCATATTGGCATAGTGTATCAATCACTACATTGAATAGGTGCATTAACATCTGTGTGTCTTTTAGTTATATACTGTTATATCTACGTGCTCGAGGTAGTTATAGACAGGCTGTTATAGACAGGTGGTAGTTATATACTGTTATATCTACAGGCTGGAGGTAGTGATAGACATGTTGTTATAGACAGGTGGTAGTTATAGACATGTGATAGTTATAGACAGGTGATAGTTATATGCAGATGGACGTTATAGACAGTTGGTAGGAGTTTAGAGGATGAGACACGTGATAGCTATGTTATGAACTAGTTAAAGTTAATAATAGACCTGTATTTGTTTTATACGCATGGTGTTATAGACAGGTGGTATCTATGTTATGACCTTTTGACCACCAGGTGGTAGTTATAGACGGATCGCTATATGTATGATACTGTTATTAACGCGTTTCAACATTGTGGATGGGGATCAAAGCATTTTAAAATGTTCGAAGAAGTCTCAGTATTTTAGGAGGGACATTTGTTTTAATCAGGCGTATCTGTAAATCAACGTTACGGAGCACTACCATGTCAATATGACAGCCGGTTTTGAGATCTACATTAGGGACCTCCTGTAGTTCAAGTTTATTTTATTATATATCTAGGATTGATGCCAAAGGTTTCTTCCGGAATTAATCCTTATTTCTTCAAACGTGTTGAATTACATTATATTTTTACATCCTGACAAAGGGCAAAAACAGTTGTTATTTATGTCTATAAATTACAACAATTAAACCCTTATTTGATGACGACGGGACAATGACCTAGTTAAAGAAGTGCATGTATAATATAAAAATTCTTCAAAGTTGAAATTTTGAATCATGTCTATTGTCTCAATTTCAAGATAGTCAATTTTGAAATAATACGCGAAACAAGGAAATTTTTATATAAATAATATATTAATATATATATATTAGTATATTAAAATGACGGGTGTTGTTTATGAACAGAAGACGCCTACCCTATTATCTTGTTATCTCTATACATAATCGTTACAAACTAACAGTTACTGATTAAATCACTACAAAAGTGGAACGTTTAAAAATGACGTTCGCCCCGTGCTGGCGCTGCTTTGAGATATTACCTATCTGTAACCAATATTTACAACCCAAGTCAAGATATCCCCATTTGAAGAACATAGGGTGCTGGTAACAAGGTGTAAGACAAAGTTTGTCCTGTTTTAAATAAAATGACATCATCATTTATAATTATGATTTCTGTAAAAACCTGTATTAGTTTGTGCTGATACCAAAAAGCCTATCGAGATTGCCATCTCTCATATATATACCTTGTAAAAGATAAGAGTGTTTCATCATTGAAACAAATATCTTGATGTTTTTGGCTGGTGGTTAATTTGAGCTTTTTAAAGCCTGTCTTTATCGTTTGTTGCATAGCATAATGGCATTATGTAACATCTGATGATATAATTAGTTACACGAAACTCGTCCTATTGTAATTTAAATTACATCATGCGTCATATTCTGCTCGTTTGTGACATCCAATTATTTCTACTTCCTGGTATGTGTATGCCTATCGTATTTAAGAGCCTGCCCCCATTCCATAACGTATATAAGAAATTGCTATGTGTGTTTAACTGTTCAGTGCATGTCAGGACAGGTATCTAGTTAACTGTTCAATAGGCATGTTTACAATATAGATCTTAAATCATCATGAACATCGGTTACTATTCGTGTTATTAACCATACCACTTTCCCTGACTTTTCGTCATGGATACCAACGGAAACAAAAGGTTGGGGCCTTTCAGTGTCTTCATGAAGTTGCAACGAAAGCGATCCGATGTGTACCAAATTGCAGCAAAGCCGGTGTCCTCTCCGAGTCGTCATAAAACGTTCCTTATTGTTGCAACTGTCAGCACAAGCATATGTCTCGTTGTAGCAATATCGATTGCCATGGCGTTGACCATAAGTTCCCCGGATGACGTTAACAAGAACAACCAACCACTGGGGAAAATAGGTACGTAACATTGTTTTATTAAGATCGCAGCATTGCTTTGAGTTTAAAGGTCAATCATTACTTTATGCTTCTTATATCGTATTATAGCTCTTTGTTTAAGGCCAAAACTTTGCTCTATGTGTTCAGTTCGAAAAAATGCTTTGGTGGTTTAAGTTCAAACATATCTTTGTTCTCATATGGGCTATGTTTTGAGTCACAGTAGGACTTTCCTGCCTGAGCTTCTGAATAGGAATATTGCTTTATTAGAATGCCTGCAAAAAATAACAAAATACACAAGTACAACTATTCAGAGAGACTGCTTGTCAATAATTTATTATTACCGACCCTTTTTGATAAAGTTTAAATATCACCAAAGGCATCGATTTTGGGTTTATTCATTGTGAGAGAATAACCTTTAAACTAGCTCAAAGTAACTGCTTGTATTCTAAGATATTTTTTGTGTCTTCTTTTTCTTTTTATGTCATTTAATGTGTGTGCTTAGCTAACAGTATTTCAATGTAAAAGCGTTATTGCAATTGGAGCAGGACAAAAGAAGACTATTCAAATAAAATAAATCGATTGCTTATATTTATCTGTGTATTGAAATGGTCCATTGCAGGATAAATAAAAGTAACTTATAACGAATGAGCATGTCTAAGAAGTGGCTGATATGTAAAAGTATGTCTCCCCACGACAAAGAGAGACCTGTTTTAGTAGTGTTTTCTTACTTCTGGTTCTACTTCTTAAATATTATGGTCCAAGTTTTTATTGTTTAATACTAGCCTATGATATTTCGCACTCAGGTGTGATACCATATGACAATGTGTTGCATTCACTTTGACCTTCATGTAACCTTACCCTGTGACCTTAAGGTCAAAATACTTGATCATTTTGGACATTTTCATGTCTTTAACATAAATTGTTAATTGACATAAGGTTTTAATATTTGGTAAATGGTTGCAGCATATCAAGAAAATGTGTCATAAACCTTGAAAGATACCTCTGGCCTTGACGTTTAATGTAGAGAAAATTATTTTAATGATGAGGAAACATAAGTTTTAATCCACTTAACATTTCACATAGTTATAAACCTGTAATGTGATGTAGTGCAGCTTGACCTAATAGCATTTTTTTTTATAATAGTCATATTTGAAATTTTGAAAGAAAACACTCTGATGGACAGCAACATTGCTAATTATTTCATAATCCCTGGACCATGACCTAGGGGACAGGGCCTCGAAATATTCGTCAAACTGATATGTACTGACAGTAATGCAACTTTATAGAAAATATCATCGATCTATCACACAAGTAGTTCATATCAAACTGTCTTAAGCAGAAAATTTAACAATTGTTTTTTTTTTTTGACGCCGCTGCCGACGTCGGAAAAGCAACATCTATGTCGAGCCTTTCGCGACTTTCGTCGCAGGCGAGACAAAAATCAAAATATCACTTTACATTTAGTTTAACATTGTATTAGGTGATGGGGAACATCATACAATATCTCTTACCTGTTCTTATGATATTTGAGGAATATCAAGCCAAACATTTCCACAGCGGTAGCAGCTTGCATTATCAGAGCGGAGGTACATGAGGTTATTGGATTTCTACTGTTTGCTGCACATGTTCCAACAGTGATGCCACTGTAAACCAATATTGCTTTACATTCTCCAGAACATGATTAAATGTCTTATGCTGAAATAAATTAGTAATGTGTTTCTCTGATATCAATTGTTCTGTACAAAACTTGTTTGTACTTAGACTACTGTACAAAAAAGAGAGATTAATTGTTCATTGTCTTTAAACACTTGAAGACCCTGTTACATTTAATTAGTATCCAGTACTTGCTTCATTAACATAGAATTATATAATGAAGGTGTTATTGCTGTCCAGTTAATAGGATTTTTAGTCGTTTGATTTTTTTTATATACAGTTATGACATTTCTCATTTCATATGCATGTATGTTGCACTTGTAGTTAAATTCTGTTGAAATCATTAGTCATACTAAACAGATATACCGATTTCAGAAAAAATGCAGCGAATAAGACAAGAACCAGTGCTATTTTCTTGCTTTAAAAGTAAAATTGTAATGAGCTTCTATTATCTTAAATTAATCATATAAGACTAGTTACTCCAATTTCACCATTTTCATCTCTATAAACATTGACATGACATTGTTTTTCCCTTTGTCCAAACCGGTCTGTATACCTCATTTGTAGAAACTGCATGGTCCAGTCCATCGCTAAAAATCCTTCAAAGCGCTTTAAATTCTCCAGCTTTTGTATTCTAAAAATATCTTGGTTAGCGTTTCTTACATTATAAGCTTTCTAGTCATGGGTTTTCTGTATTGCGTCCTGGTAGTTTTTGCCTGTATATTCTTTAAAGACATCATCTCCCATCTTGTCAATACCTTTGCACTCATTATTCTCAATGCCATGTAGAAGTTCACACCTATCACACACTGATGTATGAATGTGTTCACAGGGACATTGAACATTTGTTTCAGGGTACTCAAAAGCCACTGAAGACAATAATCAGCACACAGACATGTTTTCTCCAGATGTAGTTTATAGTCTGTTTTGAAATAAAGTTTTGCTGATTTTTTTTTTTTTTNTTTTTTTTTTTTTTTTTTTTTTTTTTTTTGTATTTGTTCATGTTCTTCAGTTGATAGTATGGATCTCTCATGTAGCTGTTTTGTCATTTCTTTAAGTGATTCAAAACCTTCAATGCCCTCAGCTGCAATATTGTCCAATCCATGTAAATTTGTTCGTTTTGTAGCAGCACAAGTATTTAAAAATCTTGGATAATGTGCATTTTGGTTCAAAGTTTGGAGTGTTTTGTTGTTCTAATAACGTCTGGAATAGTTATATTTTCTCCTGAATCCAATTTTAGATCTCTTGTACCATAGGACACCAGCTGCATAAATGAAGTACCACAAAAGAAACTTATGGCATTTTCCAGCTCACTGTCATCCAGTCTTTGACGTGGTACTTCAAAAATGTTAAGAAATGTTAAAATGAAGTCGTGCCTAATCTAAACGATATATAGTTATTCCTGGGATTAATAATTTAAGTTCTGCTTTAGTAAGTCTATTTGTCATAACAGATGGAATTTGAGTTTTTTAAGGAATTGACCACTGTTTCCATGTAAAGCTTTGATAAATCTGCTATTATATCAGTGTCTGAGGGCATAGATTTGGCAGTGTTTGTTGATAAAACTTAATCCTTAAATAGTTGTCCTTATTTTGTCTCACAATGAATCTAAAGATTAATTTGCTTTGCGCTTGTAGTACCTCATTGTTGATTCTTTTACATTATAGATTTTAGACTGAAAGAGAACGTAGAGGACTCACATTGATTGATTCCATTGCCACATTTATTTTCTCCAGTGCAAGTTCACTATAATCACTCCAATTAGATATCTGGGAGTTTTAGGTCTAGGAGTGCTGTTGTGTGTTCTGAAATGAAAATTTAAACATAAATAGACAATAAAATAAATTTGTATAAGCATGGACAACATTAATGAATATTGAAACCCAAAAATCATATGAATGCAAAAATTGATACTAAAAAAATGACGTCAGCAATTGCCTTTTTTGCTCATTTGTGGGCAAAACACAGAGTCTGATGCAAACAAAAAAATAATGTTTATGTGGAGCCATTTTTCATAAATTCTGCCAACTTGATGCTTCTCGAATTGCGCATTCAGGGAGATGAAACATTTTTATGGTTTAGCATGTATATTATTGCTAATTTTTCACCTGTTAACATGTGTTATAATTCAGTCTTACACCAATCCTAAACCAATTCAGAAGAAAATGTGTCCACAGTACAATGGTGACCCACTCACATTATCATTTTCCATGTACAATTGAAATTGAGGTTAAAACCCTAAAATGGCATACAATTCATAAAGATCAAATCATAATGGACATGTGTATTAAGTTTTAAGTACATGTGGCCATAACTTCATCATAAACTACCTTGACAAAAAACTTTAATCTGATCCTGGACGGACGGATTGACGGACGCACAGAGTAGAAACCATAATGCTCCTTTACTATCATAGGTGGGACTTAAAATTTTAAACAATAACCCTGACCTTTGACCTACTGACCCCAAAATTAAAAGCTTCTTTTCCTTCCCCATATCTTCCATTTATATATTTTTCATTCCAACCAAGCAAATGAAACTCAAGTTATCATCTCCAAGTCCTTTTTCCACTATTTTTTTTTAGGGATCGCGATCTTGACTTTTGACCTACTGCCCCAACATCAATAAGCTTATTCACTTTTCCTTTTTCTTCACACTGTATAAATTTCATTCAAATCCAGCAGTGAAAAGTTACCCTCCGGACACAATTGTCCATGGTGTTTTTCATTCTATTTTTTAGTAACAGTGACCTTGACCTTTGACCTATTGACCCAAACACCAATAGACTTCTTCCCCTTTTCGATTTCTTCACAATGTACAAGTTTTATTCCAATCTAGCAAGGAAAAGTCAAGTTACCATCCGAAACCATTTTTCAAAAATGTTTCTATTTTTAGTTACAGTGACCTTTAGACTATTGACCCCAAAATCAATCTCTTTTCCAATATCTTCCATCTGTATATGTTTCATTTCAATAATGCAAAGAATACTCAAGTCATCATCCTGACGGACAGAAGGACAGACAAATCAATTACTATATTTCTAGGGAGTTTAATGAAAGCAGTCTTTGTCAAAAACTTTTTGAATATCAGTCTTTCATCGGACTTCTTTAAAATCATATTGCTTGCAAAGCCTGTTTTCAGGAAGATTTTATTGGACTGACGAAACAAATAATCATAGGACAGGTCATAAGTAATACAATCTTATGTGGAACATGGATCAATCTGTTACAAATATAAAGAATCAAACTGAATGTGTTAGAATTTGAAGCAACCTAACAGTGGTGGAACATTAATTAAGTTTGTTTTATACTACACACTATGTCTTAAAATCATAACTTACAGACAAACTGTCACACTCTTCGTAGTTA